ACAACCATATTTAATGTAGTGTGAACAAACTGTGTCATTTCATACTAAATCTTTCCATGTACTTTTCTTTGCAGTCGGAGATGGAACAGGAACGCTTCCGAGCTGATCTGAGCAGATGTGTGGATATGCAGATGGCCTTCAAAGTTCAGCTCAGAGTTTTTGTCAGTAAAGGTAAGCAAAGGGGCGTATGAAAGAATCTAGAAACCCAGATTCCAAGACAGAGAGGAACTAAGAAGGTTATTACCAACTAAACGTTAAGACTGTAGTTGAGCATTGAATTCATTTTTTGAAATGTAATCAAATTAGACACCTACTATACATATATAAGTCATAGTCTATATAAAACAATCTGTCAAGTATCAAATCATTTGAGTACTTGAATGGATAGTCACTTGTTTGTAACTTGAATTCGATGCATGAGTGCCAGATGTTATTTGTAAATAGCTGGTGGGCATATTAACAGCTCAGTCGCTGTGCTTCTGCAGAGATGCGCATATCTGGTTGCTATGGCTCCTTCATCGCCGGTCCTGACTCCTGCTGTGTTGCCATGGCAGCGCTTGATTGGCACACAGCTCTGGCATTTGAGTTCACTCACAACAAGTCTTTAGATGAAACGAGGGGTGTAGCCATACAGGTAGTATTGATGTGATGATATAAAATCATAAATTATCATATTAGTCAGTCTCAAATTTTGATAAAAAATTATCTGAGATTAATGGATATGATAAATAATTTGATGTGTTGTTCATTTAAAGGGGTCATATGATATCGCTGTGCTTCTGCAGAGATGCGCATATCTGGTTGCTATGGCTCCTTCATCGCCGGTCCTGACTCCTGCTGTGTTGCCATGGCAGCGCTTGATTGGCACACAGCTCTGGCATTTGAGTTCACTCACAACAAGTCTTTAGATGAAACGAGGGGTGTAGCCATACAGGTAGTATTGATGTGATGATATAAAATCATAAATTATCATATTAGTCAGTCTCAAATTTTGATAAATGACACTTATCTGAGATTAATGGATATGATAAATAATTTGATGTGTTGTTCATTTAAAGGGGTCATATGATACTATTTACATTTTTCCTTTCTCTTTGGAATGTTACAAGCTCTTGGTGCATAAAGAAGATCTGTAAAGTTGCAAAGACTAAAGTCTCAAATCCAAAGAGATATTCTTTATAAAAGTTAAGAGTCAACCACGCCTACCTAAAACGGCTCGTTCTAACACGCCCCCACATGTCTACATCACGATGTGGGAAGATTTGCATAACGCCGCCCAAATGTTCACGCAAAGAAAGAAGGCGTAACTTTTTTTATTCTTGCTGTTGTATTGTTGCTGCCGCCATGTCGTGAAGGCACTGTGCGTTCCGTTGTGAAAGCGAAACTACTTTGTTTGGTCTTCCAAAAGAGGACGATATCCGCTTCGTCATGCCTGGAGCTGATCCGTGCTGGTCGCTGAGGAAATACATCAACTTCGCGCTGTGGATCGCCGGATCGGCTTTCACAGTGGACGAAGCGGAGTCCAGCCCGGGGTCGTCACATGTGGTTGCCGCAAGCCCGCTGGCCGCTCCTTCGTCTAATCTGCCGGCCACCGCTCCCTCTAGCCACCGGCCTCCGGTCACTCAAGGCCGCCGTGTGTGACGCTGTGTTTCGTTGTGAAAGC